GCTTACGTTATGAGGGGATACAGCAAGGTTTCTGAACACTATTTTTGAGTCTCAAACTCTAATGAGCCTTTGAGGAAACCTTCTGGCTGGACCCACAAAACAAAGAATATCTTTGTATTGCACCCCTTTAAAAAATCATCTGTATTAAAGTGGATGGCCAACAATTACCTTAAAAGAAAATGAGAAGGGGAGAGGGCAGGGAAACTAGTTTAAGATCAGTGGAACAACCAGAATGGAAATGAGCATGCTGGTCATTTGATGAAATGACACCAATGTCCCAGAATGTGTGTAGTATTTAATGAGAACTTAAATTGCTGTCACTGAAAACAAAATCATTTAAAAACAAGGGAGTAAACTCCCCCGCCCCCACACCCCAAATCACATACCCGTCTTTCATCCTGCAGACCTAGGATTCAGTTATCACGGAAGATTTGATCCTATTTGGTATTTTTTTCCTATGATCTTCTCTTATATCTTGCCATTGAAACAAGTAGTGTTTTTGGTTGTTTTTTTCCCCTCATTTTTCTTAAAAAAGACTTTTTAATGCAAGGTGTAACATTTACAGCTAGGGAGCTCAAAGAAGCTAACCAGGTAGAGTTGCTGTTTGAATTTATCAGCTGCTCTTTTGGAAAGAGATGTGATCTTTCCCGTTATAGCCTATGAAAACCTTCTGGAGATTCAGGAGTTGGTTCTGAAAGAGTTAAGAGTCATCAGCGATGAATCCGTTGTCAAAGGAACACCATGATTTGAATGTATTTAAGGTGCACACTTGGGCTTTGAAAAACACATAAAGAATTATAGTGTGTTTCCCCAGCTGTCAAGGAGTTAGGAACTAGCTATCTCCCAGGTAACCAAGTGCCTAAAAACTAAACTGAGTAAATAAATTTAATCCATCTTTGGGCTCTTAGTTCTAAATTTAATATGGCCTTTTAAAGTCGGCACCGTTTCTCAAATTACCTGTACTGCATCTGAACAGCCATTTAAGACTTTTTCAATCATTGAAATATTCATCCAGGTTCTTTCATTTTCCTTGATAGTTATTTATGATCTTAGTGATGTTGCTTTAAATTCTGTGTTTACTAGGTAAGGAGGAAAGGTTCAAGGTTGTCTGTCCACAAGGTTTCGGTAAGACCTAGAAAACTTGACAGATCTAAGAGCAGATAAGGATTTCTTCTGAAATGTGTCTTAGCACCCACATTATGAGCTCTTTAGAAGGGCCTCGCTTACCAATGTCTCCTGTTTCTCCTTGGATCTTTTTAATGCCTTCCCTATGGCCTTCTGGTTTGTTTTCATGGAATACAACACTGTTATTTTGTTCAGAGGGAGTTTGTGAAGGCTGATTTTGTGTTCTTTTAATTCTTTGCCCACGCAAATATGTTGGCCCTGCTGAGTAGACTCTTGGATGTTCTAAACCTTAATTCGTTTAGATTCTTAACTTTTAACTCGTTCAGAACCAACTCCTGAATCTCCAGAAGGTTTTCAAAGGCTATAACAGGGGAAAAGATCACATCTCTTTCCAAAAGAGCAGCTGATAAATTAAAAGGAGTTAAATGTTAACTCCTGTGAGAAAATGCCTTCTCTAACCAAGTAGAAACTGTAAACGAAACCATTTCAGCAGACACTCCACCTGTACATCCCCATTCACCCATGGTGTCACCTACTATGATGTTGTTTCTCTCCTGTAGTGAACTATGTTGAGTGGGAATAAATTGGACCTTTCCCTCACGAGGCTGGGAAAGGGCTGGTAAACCAAGGGTTCCTGCAGCCTCTGAGGTGTGATGCTGAGCTGGTGGTCACAGTCTGTTACAAGACAGGAGGGCCGTACAATGTCAAGACAGGATCAGTACAGTGATGGCTTGTAGACAAGTGTTCTTTTTAATGTCCTCACAGGGGAAAAGGGAAAAAAAATGGGTTAGAGTCAGTGACTTTTCAAAAACATCTTTTAAAAAAAATTTTATTTTTTGAGTGTGTACCATCAAATCGGATCTTACCGGTACAGGAGATGGCCTTTCTCCAGCAGAGCATCTGGTGGATTTGAACTGCATACCTCTGGGATTGCAGTGCAGCTTGCTGCAACCAGGCCACCAGAGCTCCTTCAAAAACACTTTTTTAAAAAAAAAAAAAAAAAAAAAAGGGAATCCTTTCCTTCCCACAGCTGCACAACAATTTTTAGGTAAAATTCCAACTTTGTTAACATATAAAATGGTGCTGTTTATAGTCAAAATTAGGATGAAGAACCTGATCCCAGACCAGGTCTTCACACAGCTTCTCCCTCCCTGCACAGTGACCTTGACCACTGAAGAGCCCTCGGGCTGTGCAGAAGGGAGCGGAAAGCCAGGTGAGGGGTTCCCAGACCGTGAGGACCGCAACCTGGTTCAAAGCAACACCGATTCCCACGTGGTGACGGGAATTATCTGTGCTGATGGCCATGCAGAGATCTTACACTTTATGTAACGTGGAGGAGGGAAGGAGAACTGAGGCTGATATTCTGAGGAATCAG